CTGAGTAGGACTCTGTATTAAACCACCAACTCATAAGAAAAAGAGGTGAGCCTTGCAAGCGCAAAGACAGAGTTCAATCCCTGGTACCAAAAAAAAAAAAAAAAGAAAAAGAAAAAGAAAAAGAAAAAGAAAAAGAAAAAGAAAAAGAGGTGATATAATCAAAATACAGTAAACACATTAAAACCCAGTATTTTGTAAAATCAATAGGTACTAACAAATAAAAGTAAATTAAACTTTTAAAATCATCAAAAAAACAATATGAGATTTACTAATAACTGACAAATGAGTATAAGCAACAAGAGTACATGTTTAAAGAGCTATTGGGGGAATAATAACGTTTGTTTTTTTCTTTTCTTTTCTTTTCTTTTTAATACTAAAGATCAAACTCAGGACCTTGCAATTGCAAGGCAGATGTGGCACCACTGAGCTAACACCCCAGCTACCTTGAATTTTCAAAGTGTGATAATGGATTGTTCTAAATGTTGATTATATTGATGTCAATATCTTGGTTATAGCACAGTAGTTTTCTAAGGATGTAGTATTTGGAAAAAATGGGTAAAGGGTACACTAGATCTCTCTCTGAGTATTATTTTAACAACTACATGTTAATCTATAATTATCCAAAATAAAAATTTTAGTTTATACCTAGAATGTACCAATAAACTCAATAAAAAAAATGTGGTTTATAAAAAAAGAAGAAAAGAAACAGGAGACAGAGGAACATGTTGAAAGACACCACAGTAATACAATCAACAAAAACCAAAATGTAAAATATTGTACAAGACAAACCACCTACTGTATTTAACAAATAAATTATAAGAGGAGAAATAAAGGACAGAAAACCAACTACAGATTTAAAGTGACTTAATAAACCCACTGACTAAATATGTGGACCTTGTTTACATCATGAGTCAAGCAAATCAACTGTATGTAAAAATCCTTTATGTGGCAAGGGGAAAAATGTGAAAACTAACTGGATAGGTAAATATGCTGTACTAATTAATAATTATGAATTAGTTAATTACATTGCAATAATGAATTACTAATTGTGTATGTGATAATAGCACTGTAGTTATATAACAAAAATTTTTCTCCCTCTTTTAAAGATACATACATATATAGACACATACACATTTATAGATAAAATTTATATGAGGCACATGATCTGAGGGAATATGCAGGGAATGCTAGTATAAATGACATTAAACTGGCCACATAATAAGTGTTGAAACTAAGCGATGGATGCACCAATGTTCATTATACTACTCTATTTTTATATATACATTTTAAATGGCCATGAATCCAGGATGGAAGGTATTATCCCTTCTAGACTAACCCCTGTAGCATTCTTATTTAACATGACTGAGCCCATCTCCACATCAGGTATTATTCCAGGTGCTGGAATAATACAGAGAAACAGTGTAACAGGAAACAAGTATTTTAAAATTCCTACAACACAACAATGACAGAGAAAATACAATTATTACACAATTTTTAAGACAGAAAAATTTATTAGAAAAACATACTTCCAAAGATTTACTAATAACTGACGAATATGAGTATAAGCAACAAGCATATATTTAATGACCTATTTGGGGGAATAAAAACCTTTGGTTGTTTGTTTTTTTGTTTTGTTTTGTTTTACACCAAGGATCAAACTCAGGACCTTGCAATTGCAAGGCAGGTATGGCACCACTGAGCTAATGCCCCAGCTACCTTGCACTTTCAAAATTTTCTGATCCACTGATTTCCAATATTACCAAAGTCAGAAAACAAAGTAAAAAATATTATCTACTTGCTTTCTTCTTTCCACATAAACACTGATTTTTATATTGTTTAGCAATTTTTGGTTTTAGTCTGCTTTAGAATGATGCACAATAAAAAATGTGACAAAAATATATTAGCCATCCCTTTTTAAATCTGTTTACTGTAATAAATATTTGATTAAAAGAACTATGAGAAAAGAAAAATTAAAAACAAAGGTTCAAGAACTTTCCATGTTATTACTGATATTAAAAATAAAATGACATTCAATAAAACAAACAAAAAATTACTGTTCAAAATTAGTATATTATCCTAGCCCAAAATATAGTATTCATTTCCTACAAATTAGAAACTAAGAGACAAGGAATTATAAGCAGATATTTTTAATCCTTACTCTGAAATCCTAAATTTTTAAAATTAAACTTTTGTAAATGCCCATACCTACTCATATACACATAAATTTCTTTTTTCCTTTTTTTTTTTTTTTTTTTTTTTTTTTTTTTTTTTTTTTTTTTTTTTTTTTTTTGGATACCAGGGATTGAACTCAGGACCTTGTGCTTGCAAAGCAGGTGGCAGAACCACTGAGCTAAATCCCCAGCCCCAAATATAAATTTTTAAGTAACAAACACTACAAAATATAACTATATGTATACTTGTCTTTTATCAGTTTTTGCAAATTTATTTATACAAATATAGATGTGTGTACATATGTATATACACTTCTTTTTTCCCTTAATAGCGTATATCACTAGATAGCCCAAACTGGCTCCAAGCTCCTGGGCTCAAGCTATACACCTGTCTTGGTCTCCCAAGTAGCCAGAAGTATGGACATATCCCACCATGCCAGGCTCTGAATTTATATTTTTAAATATCATGAGCGTGTATGTATATATGTATGTGTGGTGCCAGAGATCAAAGCTAGAGGCTTGAGCATGCTATGCAAGTGCTCTGCTGAGCTATATTCTCAGCCAAAATATCTTTTAATGTGCTAAAATACTAAAACATTCTTGCCTAATGTTTTATTGTAACTAAGAACTGGATGATTAAAGATGTACATAATGTAAAGAAATTACAAAAACTACTTAAAGAATGAGCCACTTCACTTCATGAACAAGGAAGAGGCCAATCACCAGTTTCTAGGTCACACTACAGAAGAGCAAGTAACATTTCAGATACTAGACAAGAATAAAACATTGTTTAATAGAAATATAATTTTGATCTTATCACCCAGTTCCCCAAGGAGCATTTTCAAGTGCAAAAATATCATTTAAAAAATGAAATATATTAGCCAGTTATAAAGTTCATATTTACAATTATGATTACACAGAATTTCTTAAGAGAAGAGTCATGTCAATTGTTAATGTATATTTTCTTATTTCGAGGACACATCTTTGTGTTATCTCTGAACACAATTCTGAGTTTTCTCACACCACTCTATCTTACACTGTAACTTACTGAATCTTTACACAGAAATACCTATTAGAAAGGACATGCTTCTGTGTGGAGATGAGCAAGTTCAATATCCAGAACAGGAGTCTTGATAGCAACTACTGTTTTGTAAATTGTTCTGATAAAAGCAGGATTCCACCTCTATCTCAAGGGGCAAATTTTGCTAAAAAGCATATCATGTACTTCATCCTTAGAAGACTAGCTAAACCAGCAACCAAGAAAACTAATGAGGGGCCAGGGATTTAGCTCAGTGGTTCTACTGCCTGCCTCACAAGCACAGGGGCCTGAGTTCGATCACTCGTACGAAAAAAAGAAAAGAAAAGAAAACTGAGATGAATGGGGCACAAGAAAGAGAGATATTCACTAGCCAGAAATAAAATGGAACTGAAGTGTTCAATACCATTTGCTATTATAAACAAAGGAAAACAGACTCAAATATGAAGGGGCCCAAAATCCTAAGTCAACCAGGGCCAGACCCTTGTACTTATTCCATTATAAGGCAATTATTTCTTTTTAAATAGTACCTTAATTAGGCCATTATTAAAACAGGTTTCATTTACTGAAGACAATGGGCAGGCAGGTCAGATGTAAACATCCCAATTAACTTGACCAGTGACCTCATGGAACTTGGGGTGAAGTCACTGTTCCATTTGCCAAGGTATACATGCTACCGGGCAGCATAAAATTAAAAAAAAAAAAATCCACATCTTTTCACTCCCACCTAGTATGCTTTGCCTTTAAAAAAAAAAAGAAAGAAAGAAAGAAAACAGGGCTGGGGATTTAACTCAGTGGTTCCGCCACCTGCCTTTCCAGCGCAAGGTCCCAAGTTCAATCTCCAGTACAAAAAAAAAGAAAAAAAAAATCTAAATGTGTTCTCTTCTCAGGCACCAAAGCTTAATTTGGTTATTGTTCCCCACAGATTGCGTTCATAAGAATTCAATGCTTGTTACACATTCTGGTCCCAAAGTATTCTGTACCTGGTAAGATCAATATAAGATCACAAGCTGAGAAATTAATGAGCTCCAACTCCTATTCATAAAGTAATATTCCTTCTCAACTGTTAAGTTCCCTAAAAAATACCCTGTTTGTCTAAACTTTACATCCAGATTATTAACGAGTGTTAATTCTGAGGTAAACATTACATATTCACTAAATGTATCAGGCTGTCTTCAGAAACTTTTTCATGTACCTTTTAATACTTAAAATTTTATTTTTATTCTGATCATCTAGACTCTCATCAAACCATGAAGACTTTGAGTTTTGTCATACAAACATTTTACATGTATATACAATACCATACCATATAAAATATATATTTGTTTCTAAAATTATGTGAAATATCACTTGGTTTTTCTTTATTCTTCCTAATATACTTTCTTTTAATTGTATTCAATTATTAAAATAAATAAATCTAATAAAAATAAAACAAATCAAATTTCCAATGCCATACCATCATCAAAGCAGCAAATTTCGAATAGCATTTTCTCCAAGAACTATTGCAAACTAATTTTTTTAGAAACTGAAAGTTTCTAAAAAAGTAAAAAAGTACCATATTACAAATGTGGCAAATTTCAGAACACAAAATTAGTTAACATAGATTCCCAAGCTTTAAAAGCACATGATAGACAATAAAGAAAAACCTGAATGATAGGCAATAATTTCAAATTTAAAACAAAAATTTATCTTTTACTTGAATACTATTTATTTATGTCTGTCAACAAATGTCTACCACAGGTCATAAATAAATGAGAATTGTAGTTATCTAAGAAGTATTCTGAAAGACTTACCATCATTTTGGCTCTTGCCCTTCATCTCCTCCTTCCAGGATAGAATGGTGTTCAGGGCAATATAGTCTCTTACGTATTCTTTGCGCCTCTCCTCTAAGGTCATCTTCAGTAAACGTTCTTGCAAAATAAAAACAGAATCTTCATTTGTATTTCACTTTTAAGCTTGGAAATTATTTTACACTTTAAATACTAACTGTGTTAAGCTAAGCAAAGGTTTGGTACAATCTTGAGAAACACCAAAATACAAATTTAATGATTTCATATTTGAGTATTAAAAGATGTTCAATTAATTCCATATTAGCTAGAAAAATAAAATCAAAGTTTGATCAAGACAATCTGTGACACTGCATGAAATAAATTAATTTACTCTTCCACTCAGTATCTACTGATGACCTACTATGTGTCAAATAACATGTTTATAGGTTATAAATTCAAAGATGATCCTTACACTGAGTTCACAGGAAAAAAGATGACATGGATGGCATACAAAATAATACTGATGTAAATAAAATTTAAAATGCTAAGACAGGTATCATACAAACAGGGAGAGCACAAGAAAGGTAGTTACCAAGGTATTTCCTTACTTCAATAAGACCATCAATAATGAAAGTATACTTTCACTTGAGTAATAACTTTGAAGAGGTGATATCTGATTATAAGATTAAAATAATGCATGTTAGAATTAATAACAGTGGATATCACTTATGAAGAACTTACTACTTGTCAGTACTTCACGTGTATTATATCATTGAAATAATTACAACTTATAACATCAAAAGATTATTCCTATTTTGTACCTAAAGAAATAAAGCATACCAAAATGGAGGGGTTTGCCCAAAACCAAGAACTTTCAAATGAGCCAAGATTAAAATCCAGACAGGTATCTCCATTAATCAGAGACTACAACCAATACTATTCATACTGTACTATGTTGTCAGCAACAGATCCCCAGCAAGGTAATAAGTAAGCTGACTCATAAAGGTTAGGTAAATTTTGCATGAACAGGTTAAAAAGGATGCTTCAACTAATGTAACAATGTTAACAAAAATAAGGAGATGCAAACAGTTTAATGAAACTACAGGATATGCTATTTATAGAGAATAGTAAATTTGGAATTATCGAATGAAAGTGAAAAAAGATTGACAGCAGTTTCTAAAGGACTACTTTAAAAGTTCAGACCCCTGATAAGGAATTATTACAAGATCAACGATCAAGGAAAGGAGTAGCCATAAGAGTGAAAAATAGGTAAAAATAAGGTAAAAGAAAACTGTATTAGGCATATCAATGGTGTACCTTTTAAACTTTCAATAATACAAACAGCCTTCTACCTTATACGTCATGTGGAGCAATTTAACCTTTCCTCTTAAAATTCCACGACTAATATTCAAAGTGAATTATACATATCCCAGCCAGTACATAAAACTGTCCACTAGGATGCAGAAAAAAAATAAGAAATTCTGCTTATTTTTTAACCTAAAAAACAAGGAAGAACTTAATATTCATTAATATTCAACATATAAACTGTCACTAGCATGTTCACTCTGTTTATGTCAGTTGTCATGTATCACATATTTTACTAGGGGTGTCCACAATGTACAGATGGATGATCATATTCTTATACTCTCTAATGCTCTTTCAATATAGTTCAGATGCATGGATTTAATATATTCAAGTCATTACTCAAGGGTCAACAAACTGAGTTTATCTATGACATTCAAGAACTTGAAATCAAGAATCTAGAGCTTAGGAGAAAGAGCTAGCCTAAATATTTTTAGAAATTATAACCTAAACTTCTGCTCCCAGAAAAAGGAGGGAAGAGAGGAGAGGGGAAAAAAGATTTGAACTGAATTTTTAAAAATTAGGAGGCACAAAGAGAAGAACAATGAAATACACTGATTGTCAATGGAGTTAAAGGTCCCTGTGATGTGGAAAACAGCAGGGAAAAGAGTTTTAATATGTAGGAGGGAAATACTGTCAACTGCTACAGGAAGATCAGAAAGAATAAAAATTATACTATAAAAGTCATGGCTTTTATCAAGCAGGTTGCCAACAGCACTGAAAAGAGAAAATTGGTTACAGAGCTGTTTGTGTTCTAATCTAAATCATTATGAAATCTGTGCAATCTCTATGTTTCAGTTTCTTTTTTATATAAGCAGGTAGATATTATTCCCAACTTATAGATGAAGCAATTAATTAAAGCAGAGTTTAAATAGTTATCTAAGGTCCCACAGTAAATATAGCTAGGATTCACATCTGGAAAACTGTGTTCAAAGTGCTCTCTCTCTCTCTCTCACTTTATTTTTTTTTTTTTTGTACCAGGGATCAAACTCAGAGCTTTGCGCTTGCAAGGCAGGCAGCAGAACCACTGAACAAAATCCCCAGCCCTAAAACACTCAATTTTACAGTACACTACTACCTTCCACACTTCCCTATCTCACAGAACTGGTTGTGAGAATCGTATGAGTTAACTCATGTAAGGCAGTAACAATAGTGCTAAGTGCACAAACTGATTTAAATATAATTACTCAGTACAACTACCATCAATACTAAATGACTTTAAGAACATTATGGTCATCAGGATATAAATGAAATCCAGGAAATTCTGAGGAGCTATTATAGTTTAAATATGAAGTGCCCCCTAATGTCTCGTGTATTGGCGGCTTGACCCCAATGGAACAATGCTCAAAAGTGGGGCCTTGGAACAGTGATTGGATGATGAAGGTGCTAACTTCATCATGCCTTGGAAGGGCATCTATTGTTCCTGTCTCCTTCCTCTCCCTCACTCTCCTTTCTCTGCCTTCTATGTGGAACACGTTGAGCTATTCTGCTCCACCACATGCTCTCTGCCACAATATTTTGCCTTACCATAGACCCATAACAATGATCCTAGCCAACCATGGACTCAAACTTTGGAAATCATGAACCAAAATAAACCTCTTCTTCTGTAACTTGTTATTCTCAGGTGTTTTATCATGGCAACAAAAGGCTCACATAGGGACTTTGCAAAAGAAAGAAGAAAACTACAAGGCTAAGCTTTTTCTTATGGAAGAAAACCTACTATAAGACAGAAGAAACTTGAATGTAATATAGGCAGTGGAGAGGCTCCCAAAGACACTGAGAAATTAAACATATGCAGGAATGAATCAATGATGGCACATGATCTCAAATATAGGAAATAGGATAAAAGGAATAAGAAATGGGGTTAATCTTAGAAACAAAGAAGAAAAGTGCTTGCTCTAAAACAGGAACAAAACCTAAAGGACATATAAAGAAACAAACCAGTGAGACCATGGAAAAGAATGCTAGGGCTGTTCATATTATATGGCATTTGTATTTTCTATGAATTATCATCTATTTATAGGGAAAGAGTATTGGTGGAATAGAAAGTTTGCAGAGAATAGTAAATTTGGAATTATTGAATGAAAGTGAAAAAAGATTAATATCAGTTTCTAAAGGACTACTTTAAAACTTCAGACCACTGATAAGGAATTATTACAAGATCAATGATCAAGTTAAAAGACACAAAGCAACTTAAAAGTATCTGTAAATGTCAGAGAGTATGTATAGAAATGAATCCTAGCACTGGCATTCTACTTATTTAAAAGTTTAAGTTTAAAGATAGAATAAAAGTAAAATCAATTACAAAAAAACTGAAAACAAGTAGCAATATTTGAAAATATGCATTAAGTGACTCAGAATTAGGACTCAATTTAACATGTGTGGTCTTGATAACTGCAGTATTTGTTTGAACAATGAAACAGTAAAGACTAGAGACATGTAGTTTCTTTGGCATTACATAAAATTTTTCTTTAAAAAAATGCTTCACCTTTCTAATGAACCCTTTCTCTGTCAATCAAGCATATAAGGAAGCAGATCTTATTAGATGGTATACTGAGTAAAAATATGTTCCTAAAATGTCTTGACTTTTCAATGAAGTGAGTAAACTTTCCTTTAGATTTAAATAACAGCTGCAAAAATACTATGCTATCAACTCTCCAGTAGGGTAAAAGGAAAAGGTCATGCCTCCTTATCAGCTTCTCTTTTGTACTAGAAAATTCCTGCTTTTTGGTTAAATAACAGGGGATACCTTAAACCTTCCAAAAATAAGCACCCTAATAAAACAGTGAGATGTAACTTAAAGTCTTCAAATCATAACTTTCCCTTAACCTTAAACTTCATGCAAAAATAGCTTAGTTTGGAATAGGAAAATTATTTTAACTGCTTTCTTTGTACATTTGCTTCTTTATTTAAAAAGATGCTATTGTGAATATATTTTTCCATCAGAAGAAATGGAAGGAAAAAATATTAAAAGATTCTGAAATGCCTGCTTACCACAGTCTTCCATGATATGAAAGAAACCATTAAAATACTGTCACTTTAGGAACACTTTTTCTAATATAACAGAAACGGTTCTAAATACTCAATGTAATTTCATCAATGATTCATGTTACTGAAAACAATGTCTTCTACTATTTTGCCTTCATTATCAATAATACAAAGCTTACATTTTAAAACTATTATTAAAAATGGATATAAATGATTTTTCAATGCTCACAAAGTACATCTTTTTGGAAATATGCTGAAATTAAATTAACTGCTAATCCAAAAATGAAGCAAAACTATTTTACACTATATATCAGGCTCTTAGTCTCAACAGCATTTGTTTTGTGACAGTATAATTTTTAGCTCTCTGTATGCTCATAATCATTAAAATAATTAAATGAGGCAAACTTAATCATACAATATTTTAAAGGCCACTTTATATTGTTCAATTATGTTAAATCTTCCTAGAGTCAGAAAAAAATCCTCTTCTTGCCCCTTTCTCATGCATTGTTGGAAGTAGGTCCTACAGAGAAAGGATCCTTCTGTTCATTCCTTTTCTTACCTCCATTGTTGAGCCCTCATGTTCATAAAGGCCAAGATTTGCAATAAAAATCTACAGGTTTTAAAGCAGTATCATTAGGAAAATCAATTTCAACCTAGTCATCTTTTCATCCTTCTTCTGTAAAGATGAGATATCCAGGATAAAGTTCTTCTACCCTTACAGCACCTCACTCACTCTTGATACATTAGTGAAATGTACATCAACAGTATCTTACCAGTAGCAATGCAGCAAGTACTTTTCCCTACATTTAAGCAAAAAGGAGTAAGGAATGAAAACAGATGTAACAAGGAGAGGGGGAAAATGCCAGGCGCAAGTACATGAGAATATTACCTATGATTAATGAAAATGAGAGTGACAGGGGACTGAATTCACAGTTCTGCTTCTTGGAGCAATGAGAGCCAATGTCAGTCTAACTGATCTGGCTAAACCCTGCTACGAATAACATCAGGGCTGGGTTCATTCAAGTGACACACAGTCTCACTCTGGGCAACTTCAGACTATGAATGGGGATGCAAGAGAGAAAGCCACTGCTGAGAAAAGCCCATTCACACTTCTCCGCAGGCACTTATGCTAGCGGACAAAATGCTCGTTTTAGATTTCCCCTAGAGTTTCAGATGCCAAAAGTCACTCTGCTTCTGAGCACCGGGGTGCCCGACACCCGAAGGAAGAGAAAAACACGGGACGGTGGGAACCCCTGGCCAGGCTGGAACAGAGGACAGCGGAGGGGAAGGCACGACTGCTACCCAGCGCCTGCCGGCGTGGGACGCCTAGCCGAGGTCCCCAGGAACTTGTCCCGGCCACCTAGGGGAAGGTGACTGGGAGCGACGGGGAGCACACGGGCCGTGCGGGTGCTGGCTCGAGCTGCAG